ATATTTTACATTTAGTTTTTAATAAACTCATTAATCACTATATATTACTAACGTTCTATATACTCACATATTTGAATAATTGGGTAAAGATTCAATTATTATTTTTTTTCTCCTCAATAAAGGCTCAATTGGCGATATATTATAGTATAACAATTTTATTTAATATATTTCCTTCAGTTTCATCAGCACAGTTCAATAAAGAAAAGCTATATATTTGATTCTTTTCTGTTATTAGTTCTTTTAACATTTTACTGATTTTATGTGTTTGTTATTCAACAAATATCATTTTTTTATATATATTTATTTTATTTTGCTACATATTATTCCAAATTGTAAAATGTTCCACTATATATTAACCCAAAGTATTTTATTATTCATAAAGAAAGGAAAATAAATATGTATTTTGTGATATTTTAATGTATCATCATTTTTCATTATAGCTATTTAGGTACATATTATCATTAGACATAGCACTCGTATAAAAGTTTTCTTTACATTATTATATTGAATATTACTTTTGTGAATAAAATAATTATACTTATGTATTATAAATATAAAATAATATTATATTTTATTTTAATAATGAAATACAAATTATACCTTAATATATACTTATTTTTTATGAACCTATCAATTATTATTGCTGTGTGTTATTACCTTCAAGCGTCATGTTTATTATTTGAATAGATATATATCCTGATATATTATAATTATTAAATAATATAAATATCATATGTTTTAGAACTGTGAATAATAATATATTTAATAAATATTGTTCTAATGGTGATATAAATATAATAAATTCTCTATAATAAATGTTATATTTACTGTATTGTACAACAATGTATTTATGAATATTATATCTTAGCATTTTTATTTTATTCTTAAATGTTCTTGTTGAAAATAAATTATTCTTAAAAAATAAAATAAAAATATAAAATAAATCAGATGTTAAACTGAGCTATTATAAATTATAATGTAATTTATTTTTTTTGTTATTTATAAATGTTTAAAACTTTTTGGATTTTAAGGAATAAATGGAGCAAATTGATATATATTATAATAGAAACCTTATTTATTTTTATTGTTTTCGAATACTGAAAAAATATATATACACCTTATATAATTTTTAATATTAATATATATATTGCAGCATACATATAGCTTTGAATTCATAAGTATTTATTCAGCTAAAATAGCATGAATGATAGCTTTTAATATAATTCGCCAGAAAATAAATAGGAAATCTGGAATTTTAGATTTATATAAAATATAATCTCTTAAAAAAATAAAAGTGAATTCTATAAGTTAATAAATAAAAACCTTATAACTTTCTTCCGATGCTTATTTTAATATTTGTATTATTTGATTCAAGGAATGAATATGGCTTTAATTATAAATATACATAAAAATAGTACAAATATTCATAAATTTATCCTTTATTATTCAAATATATATCATATATAATATATTAATAATTACTGTAATATGACATTGTTATGAAATAGTGCAGGAATAACAATTTTTCTTACTTTTACAGTATTAAATAATGTTTTATTATATACTCATAATAAATGTTCTACGATACAAAATTACTAATTCATAATTTCTAACGTATTTAGTTATAATTATCATTTATTAAGATAAAACCTTCTATTATATATATATATATATTTCATTATATATATAATTTTAGAGAAAGTACTGAAATATAATTCCCTAAGTGTATATCATAATTATATACGTTCATATTGGATAGATATGCTTAATTGTTTTCCATTTATCTGTAAATAGTATATATATGTAATGAATAGATTATTTACAATAATTATTTATTATATAAATAATTTTTTTTATTTTATATAGTTATGAGGATTACTAATTCAATGCATTTTGTTATATATATAAGGATATAATAAATGTACTTCTTTTTATTTTATATTATTAAATTCTATTCCGGTATATCAATTTTTTTACAATATATATATACATTAAAATGCTTATGTCTGTTGAATATTAATTATTATGTTGTAATATATAAAATAAATTAATAGAAAATTAAAAAAATGTTGTAATATTTGTCAATTATAAAATATATTTCATGTCTTATCAATAAAACAGATATAATGATACATTTATTATACAAATACTTAAAAATAAGAACATACTTTTACTAATTAGCTCAAATATATTTATATAATGGATGACACCAAAACTGCAATAAATAATGTATGGCTCTATTTGTTCTAATGAATATAATTTATATTACTTAATATTAATATGTCCTTATTTATGAAAAACAATAAATAATTTTTATTTAAGTGTTACATTTTATCTTTCTATATATTATTCCATTTACATTTAGATTGATTATAATGATATATTTCCCATCTGTGCAGAAGATTTTAACTGGGGAATAAATTATCAAAGAAGTGAAAATATAACTCATGATTTAACAAGTTTGTGCAGTAATTTCTATAAAGAAGAAGGTAAAAACAACTTATCTCGTGAATTTAGTCAACATTGCCAAGTCCATACTCTATATTTAGAGCGTATAAGAACTAAAATACCAACATATAAACAAAAAGAATGTTGTATATACTTCTATTACAAGCTAAATGAACTACTAAAAAAATATCCTTGCAACTGTATGGACGATAAAAGTTGCTATGGAAAAATGGAAAGCCTGAGCAAGAAGACATTTAGTGATAATATTTCTAGAATATTTTTGCAATGTAATAATTATATTAATGCTTTTGATGAAAGTGAAATCCCAATGTTTAAGAATCTTGATAAACTATATAGCCTTTATAACAAATTTAAAAGGCCAAATCATCCAAACTGGAGTGATATTGAGAATTTTATAAAATGTATGGTGCATTTAGAAGGGCATATAAATAATTATAACGACAGCTTTAAAGTATTGCTACAGAGACTTAACAATAAATATATTGATTTTGTGAAAACGCTAAAAGAAACTAACTCGCATGAGAGCGCATTATTATCTTATATTTCTGATCGCGGTCATATTACAGGAATATTAAAAAATGTAGATGAAAAAAAAATGAAGAAATCGCTAGACAGAGAGATAACGTAGCATATGCAGTAATAAGTTCAGATTTATTCACAGATAATGATATACAAATAAGCGTAGGAGTAAGTTTTTTATTTTTTGCAATATTAATAATGGTATTCATATTGTATAAGTTTAAAAATGAATTGTATTTATTTAATATATATTGTGTT